CACTGCGAGTCGCAGTAACCGGTTCCGTACTTGGCACCAGCCTTGTTGGTGGGGTACTTGGCCATACCACCATCAGCGTCCATCTCTGAGAAGTAGAGAGCACCGTTGAGGCCGCAGGGAAGGTTGGAGACGTCGACGTCGAAGGTGAACTCCTGGTTGACGAGCTTGAAGAGCTCGTACTCGGTGTCGCTCGCCATGAGGTAGAGACGAGAGCCGACGTTCTTCTGCGAAGAAGTGGTGACGAACTTGAGGGTCAAGGCATCTCCGCTGACGGTGACACCATAAGTGTTGGCATAATCAGCGCCGTCCAACGCGCAGTTGGCGGCACAGGTGACGTCGTCGGGGCACAGGGTGGCGTCCCACGTGTTGCCGGTGTAGCAGTTAGTGGAGCTCGTGGTGCTGTGGGTCCAGCGCCAGTTGGCATCGATGGTGACCAAACCGGCCTGGGACGCGCAGCCGCCAGCAGTCGTGCACTTGTACCAAGGAAGCGAGGGGTGCGTCTCGGTGGTGTAGGTGCCGACCTGCTGAGCAGATACGATGGCGAGGAAAGAGAGGGCAGTAAGAGTGGCCTTGGGAAACATTGTAAGTGTTTTTTGGAACTGAGGAATCCCTGGAGCTCATAGCTAGCCTTTATATCTACTTGTAGCGATGGAGACACGGAAAAAATCCGGGGAACCTCTTGAAAGGTCAACGTGAAGCAACTCGCACTCGAGTACCGTCAATGGACTGTGTGCGACAAGAATAGAGCACGGTGAACAAGAGTAATTGTCGACCAGCGTGACGGCTGTGTTGAAGGTGGAATCCGAAGAGTTTCCGTCACGACGAGGTCGTTATTTTTCCGCAAGCATGACAGTTACCTCCACGGATCTCAGAAAAAAGGCGTTGAGGGATTGAAATCAAGAAGGACAGCCTTCCTTGTGACCGATTCATGTCAAAAGCATGTCGTCCAATACCACGGTGTGGTCTAATAATAACTGCCAGAATCACCGACTGTCATTCTGTCAAAGCAGCTATTAATAGAATGTCTTGGCAAAAGCGGGACAACCAATAACCGGAAGGAAAACTATCAGGCCTCGACTTGCTCGTCGGTACAGTCAAGAACGTTGTTCGTTTGAGCGCAGGCGCGACGGTACCAGCCATCGATCCCATACATCAAGGTTTGAACTGACCGTTGCACATTGGGGCTGGATATGCGACGTTCGAGTCGCAGATGTGGGAACTTGTGCGTACGTCGGGCGGTCGTGCGGTTCTAAAGAGGTCAAAACTCGGGGCCGGAGAGTAAGTGTGATCACACAGACTCCTGGTTCAGATCCGATTTTCCTTCTGGGTATACCCCCGCATGTCCTGCTCGACTGAGTCCTCAACAGAAGAAATTCTGGAATTTGCTGGCTGACATCTGAACATCCGTTCGACCCATCATTCACTTGGCGCGGGGTAAAAATAAATCTTATCTTATCTTATAATTATCTCCTCGCCACATTTTCTGGAGTTCAACGACGCGACGTACTCATCCCCTCTCCTGGAGAACTATACTGTTGTCCACCAAGTCCTTTATTCAACCATTTTATAGAAACAACACGCTCATGCAGAGTAGTTCATTGAAACGTTCTCTAGTACACAAATTGTAGTATCTTCTCTCCAGCTTCTCATACCAGCTTCACAACGCAACGGAGAGTAGTGGGCCAAATAATAAATACGCCGAAAAATCTTCCGATGGGGCTCGACTCCCCGTCCACATTGCGATAAGGTCCACTATTACATACTGGGAAGATTTTCCTTCCTTTTTGGTTCCTGTACATGTGGTTCCAGTTTGTTCTGGTGACCACTGAATTCCCTAGATACATCCGTCCTGCAAGTTATGATATCATCCCTTGCCACCACTGCAGTCTCATAATCCCGTCCGGAGCTGGGGTTCGATTCCTCAATACTGTGGATTGGGCTTTGCAAGTTGATTGAACCTTCTTCTGGCACACGTGTTTCCTGTTGGTGAGCGTCGCTCCTTACATTTGCATTCCATTCTAATCATGACACTACAGTTGAACGTGTTCTGCGAGTTTCAACTCTCAACTCTCAATGTCCCTTCCCTTTCTTCCACAGTTAATATGTGCTCTGGTCAGCATCCGAGTTGCGCTCCTTGTGTTCGTCAGGCAATTCTACATTCATGCCCTCCCTAGGCAAACGCGCCAACATCTCGTCATTCCCTTGGTGTCCCGTCACCTGGTGCCGGGGTTTGATTCCTCTCTAGTTCTGCGTTTCTCAAGAGTAACTTTTGACCCGCTCCTGTACATGTGGTTCCCATATCTGGTGAGTGTTGCATACATTTTTAGATTACATTGGGACGCCGAGTTCTAATATTATGCCTTCATAGCCCACGTTATTATCTCATGATACTTACCCTTGGCGGAGTCCTCACATGGAGCTAGGGATTTCTCGCTGCGGGCTATGCCTTATATTTTCGATCGCTGATTTTGGCTCTTGTACACATGGCTCCAATATGTTCCGGTAAGCGCTACGCTCCTTGTATTTGGTTAGTAAATTGCCTCCATAGGCAAACACGTTACCATCTCATGATGTACCCTTGGTGAACCCGTCACTAACTCGGAGGGGTTCCGAGTAACTATTGAGGGTGTTTCTTTTGCCCGTTTTGTGAGCTCTTGTCTCATGTATAACTGACATCGGTGGTACCTGCGCAGTATCGTCGCCGAATAATGTACTGCCTTATCTTGTGGAGAGATGGAAGTAGGACTAAACAATTTGCGACATGGATAGACCGCTAGCGGACGAGGAATGCCTCCCAAGTTCATGGGCCATCGGGTGGCACGGCCCATAAATGAAATACACTGACATGTTGACTCCTACCGGAACTTACCTCTTTCGTTGAATGAAGCTTGCGAAAATGATTCAGTAGGCGTCGTATGATGAGGAGGAGATGCAAGACCAATAGATGCATGTGCATATCCCATGTTGAGTACGACTTGAGTATTGAATCTCTGTACCTGCCCTCCCCTCATGGCTCGCGACTAGCAGCAAAACTAAGCTGACAACTGTGAGATTCGAACTCACGCCTCAATGAGACTAGATGGAGGGAAGACAATGCCTTACCTGATTCTAGCGCCTTAGACCGCTCGGCCAAGTTGCCTCGCATATCCATGAAAGGTATAGAATTCAATACACTGGTTGAGATGACTCTCTCTCTCAAAAAAGGCCAGACAAAATCTGATTGCGGTTTAGACTGCTCGGATATGTCCCCATGAGAGAGAACAGGATAGCCATGATTGCCGAGAAGCAGCGAAAGTTCTGCAGTTGCGTCGCCCTACTCGCCCAACTTGCACTCAAAAGTAACGGCCAGAAGCCGCCCGCGACGGTAAAGACGTTCGGGGGTTTGAGCCAACGGATCACATTTGGGAGATCGGAAGCTGGGCACTGGAGGCACATCTCGAAGTCTTTGCCATAATATTTTGGGGTGAAGTGTCGGAGAATTCGAAAAAAAGCTTGCCATCTTCAAAGTATACAGGACCAAGGTTGTTCCGAACGAGAATAATTCAGAGCAAGTTCCAGCTTTGAGCAGGATTAAAAGCCATCGTTGTCTTCAAAAAAACAAAAGACTGCACAGTGCGACTTTAGACCTTCCACGGTACACACGAGCTTTCATCGAGATTCGAGAAGACAATTGCAAGCGAGGAATAATTAGCACAGCCACGGAATGCCTACTCAATTTGGGTGTGTTTCTTGACTTTCTCCATCTTCTCCACCCCACCACCAGTGTTCCAGCTTCTGTATACGCCACTCCTTCGTGCCATTTCTCCTCGTTTGGCGCTACTGGCAGAAAAAGATCCCGGACAGTAAAAATTTAATCCCTGACAACGGTGTACGTCCTAGTACGTTATGAAGGAACCTTCGAGTTCTGGTAACAACCGTGAGAATCGCAAGGGGTCGCACACAAGTCGTCCATACGCAGAGCACACCAGCAGAGAGGGTAGCTCATCGCGAAGGTCGCGCACGTCAGAAAAGTCGTCTCACCGCCACCACAAGGGGTCGAAATCGGTTAGTATGACGCCATTATGTGCAGAGAGAGACGCGGAGGATGCAAATAAGAGCATGCCTTGGATGGAATTGTTGAAGAAGGATATGAATTATAACGGCGTGGAGCATAGGTGCGTTTGAAGTTGTCTAGCGCGTGCTTATTTCGGCAATTCAAGTATTGCACGCAGGCTACACCACGAGATACTCGCGTATCTCACATTCATGGAACAGACGCCGGCGGAGAAAAAAGCGCGTGAGGAGGTGATGACAGGGATACGGCGAGTTGTGCATGGCCGGTTTTATGGTGCAGAGGTCAGCGTGTACGGGAGTTCTGCGACGGGTCTCTGCCTACCGACCAGGCTAGTGCTCTTCATGCCCCTCCAGCATCGCCCACTCATACCCAGGCAGTGATCTCGATGTGGCCATTTCGATTCCGCGCTTTTCTGAAGCAGACGTGAAAAGGTCGCTCTTCCAACTGTCCGCCTCGTTCAGGTCGAACGCGATGACGAGGAACGTCTTCGTTAACCATCACGCGCATGTGCCCATCCTGATCCTTGAGACACGGGAAGATTATGGTGCGTTCCCTATCGGCACGATATCAAAGGCGCTTTAATAACGGAGCCTCTAGGTTCTGTCAGCGTGGATATAAACATTAATAACGCGTCGGGGGCACAAGGGGCCGAGGTCATCAAGGGGTATCTCGCAAAGATGCCTGCTCTCCGCCCGCTCGTTCTTCTATTGAAGGGGTTCCTCCGCCAGCGTAAGCTAAACGACGCGTCGAAAGGGGGACTGGGGAGCTACGCCCTTGTCTGTCTCTGTATACACTTTCTCCAGGTCAGTCACCATTCCTGTCTTTCTCTTTCCTTTCAACATCCCACTTCATCGCGACACAGACAAACCCGAGTAAGCGCCCGCAGGAGTACATTGACAAGCCCATGGAGTCGGAGTCCCTTGGTTTTCTCCTCACGGACTTCATGTTCTACTATGGCCTCACGTTCTCATACAAGACGTCATGTATATCCGCCGCTGCATCTCCTGGTGCCGTGCTTTCAAAACTCGAGGAATCCGGGACGCTCTCCATCCGATGTCTCCTCCATCCCGGTCCGTCTTCCTCCCCATACGCCTCCGAGTCCACGCTGACAGTGCTTCTAGAGAACGAGATCGCAAAGTCGGTATCAAAGACCGAAGCATTCCTCCAGGTCTTTAAGGACGCGTACGCTATACTTCTGCAATTAAACATGGCGGACAAAGAGATGCTAGGCCAGATCATCCGCGTCGATAAAAAAGTCAGCCGCCTCCCTCTCCTTCCTCCTCTCAACCCCCTTCCCCCGTTGACTTATGACTACCGACTAACACTCATCCTATCCTATGTATCCTTCTTAGTTCATCGAGCAGCGCACACGCCTTGCAGGGCTATTTGTGAATGAACCAAGCGTACCAAGGACACATCCGAGTCGCGGGTATTATGAAAACTCTGCGCAGACCCACCATCCGTTGCCTGCGCGCCCGGCGGTGGCGAACATTCCGCGTGCGCCACGGACGTGGAAGGAGACGCCTTTGGGGCCGAGTCGGATGCGGCATCCCCTGCCGACGGCGCCGAAGTTGAAGTAAGATGGGTGGTGTCGTGTGGAGTTGGTTGTGGGGTGGTTTGTCGAACGTCATTCATTCTTGGACTAATGGAATTAGTAGTGCGGGCTTGGACCGCATGTAGTTATGTATAATTGTCACATCGGCAAATGTAATATATAGCATTCAGAACTTGAAAACATCCATGCCTTACTTGCATCGAGTTTTGAAGAATCATTGATACGCGAGGACTTGGAACTTGAAAGTAAGCTGGGGAACTGTATTCCGAAGGATCCTTATAATTAATGAGTGCCCGATAGTGTTCTCGAAAATATAAATACAGTATGGAGGAAGTGAAGAAAAGGCGTGAAAATTAATCGTATGTGTTCGGTGATGATAATGATGAATTCGTGACTACTGCAGACGACTGAAATTGCAAAGGAGACACTGATAGTGCTATAAGAAACCTGACAATAAAGAAAGAAAGATTGCTGAGTGGAGAATACAAATGTAGGATGCGAGAGGGACATGCGGTAAATGAAGATAAAATAGGTTTGCAGTCCGAAGCTATTGATATCAAATCAGCCTCTAGAGGTCGGAGGGGACTGAGGGATTTCCGTGCGGAGCGAGGATACGGCCATGTTAGTCCTGAAGCTTGTGAGCTCCGGTATCGACGCGTACGGCGCGCCATAACTACGGTATGACGACGATGAGGACGGCTGGTGTACTGCATGCATGTGCGGCTGCTTAACGGTGCTGTCGTAGGAGTTGTGGTCATGGGTGGTTGGGTAGTAGGGCTGAAGTGGGGGCGGACCCTGATCTGGGAATAGGGGAGAGTTCCGCTTCAGTTCGATAGGGCTGCCGCCCTCGTCTGCGGCACTCGTTTCGGACGTCGCGAGGTCACGGTGGACCTTTAGGTGTTGAAGGAGATTATCGTGGCGATTGAAATGCTTGTTGCAAGCAGGGTATGTGCATTTGAAGGCTGTGTAGGCAGGGGGGCGCAGTTCAGCCATCAGCGAAACGAACATAAAGGGGCGTGTCTGATAGACTTACGTTTCTCATGTGTATGGATAGACCGAATGTGCCTTTTGAGGTGCTCGCCCCGATGAAAGCACTTACCACAGCTTTCGACTTTGCAGACGTACATTCGGGTGGCGTCCTTGGGGCTATTAACACTGCTTGGGTCGCCAGCGAGTTTAGTGGGTACACGACGGCCGCGGCTTTTCTTAGTCAGGTTGGGCACAGGAACTGGTAGGTTCGCACGCAGTTTCGCAGTGGGGTAGTCAATAGGGGTATTCGAGGCCTCCTGGTCTTCTGATTCTGGGGTGTGGCTTCGCCTAGACGCCGATATTTGACGAGGTGGTAGCAGAGGCACTGGGATATCCACATCAGAAGGAGTCCCACTCGATGATGCATCAGTCTGTTCGATTGTGGGTTTCATTTTTTTGGGAGCCCGAGCGGGTTTTTGTTTGACCTCTGGTAAGGGGCTTTCGTCAGGTCGACGGCGTTTGGATACATGTCCCGTCTGGGACCTGGTAAGCCGTCGATTAGGCGTGGATTCATCTATGCTTGTCGATTCAATCGCGTCGGTTGATGTTTCCTTCCCAAATATTTTCTGTTCACGTTAGAGATCTACCAACCAAGGTCGCGTGTAGAGCAACTCACCCCGTCTTCGAGAGACTGAGAACCTTGCTCTACGTCTGACTCGTCTGTATGATTAACAGCAGCCGTTCCGTGGTCGTGCGTACTATCCATGTCAACGCTCCTATTAAATGAGAATTGCGATAGGGGTTACGCAACCACTTGAAACGATGGATAGAGAGCTACAAGAGAGATTCAAGAGCCCAGTAAACTGTGTAGTGCTTTAAATGATGTCCCTATTACTGGGATTAAGCGCAAGGTGTCCGCGATGGAGAGGAGTAAGGGGTTCGAGGATGTAGAAAACAAGAGGTAGAAGCCCCTGAGTTAGAGGCTTAACTTGGACGGAAGTATTTTTTCGCACCAAACACGTGTTCCTTGCAACTTGCGTAATTTCCCTTACCAACGCGTTTCTCTGCCCGAGTCCGAAGCACCTTTCAACTTGAATGCGATGCATAACGCCAATATCTATGTCGACTTATGGGTTTCACTAAATTGCTGCTTTATCATAATCCTTTGACAGTTGGATTGAATGGCGTCGTCAACCTTGGCCAAATCTCCAACTCACTGAACCTCGTTGAATTGCTTTGCATCTTCTTCTTAATCTCTTTCGTGTCAATACTTTCACCTCCTCAAACGAAATTCTGCGGCTGTATCCCATGCACGGAGACATCAGAGAGCATCAAATCCAACTTCCTAGTCCAAATCTCCAGCACGAACTACGGGATTTCTTTACTTTACTTATGGATTCTGGAACTTGACCCTCTTGCAGGCATTTTGCGTTTCAGTGTATCACATCTTTGTGCTGCGGGCATAGGAGACTAGGCCTCATTCGAATGTTCAACACTCAGCGCCGAAATGTTGCCGAAATGACGGACTCCGAACGAGTAAGCCGCATTAAGTTATATAACC